ACCCTGTATATTAGGAAGAGAACACAGAGGTTTTTTTTAGAAGTTTACATGCACAGAGTACCTATATTTATAATAGAAATATTAACCTCTTATAGGTGTGCAAAATATAGTCTGATATGCCATTGAATACCTACAATTTATTTACTGTTTCTGCCAGCCTCCGTAGTGAATTGTCACAACATTTAATTCTTTCTTGCAGCTCTGATGGACTGGCTAGAAGTAGCAAAAAAAAATTCCAAAGATAATGATGCAATCACCAATGAAGTGGCAGCACAAGCTCATCTTGAGAATTATGCACTTAAACTCTTTCTCTATGCGGATAAAATGGACAGAGAAATGAATTATGGAAAGTAAGTACCAAATTCAGATAAAAAAATATAATTGAGATTTATAAAATAAGTAAGTTGTTGTAAGTCACAATACCAGTTTTGGCTTTTTAACTTAAATATATCCCTTTTTTGTGTATATTATAGTATAGGTTCCATGTTTGAAACGAAACAACACTAAGTGATTTCTTTATTTTTAAATATGCAACCTATAATATACTTAAAAGGATATCTTTTAGTTAAAAGCAAAAAATGGTAGTTTCAGACAACAGTTTACGTGAGAGGTATCAAAAATTTGTCACTTAAGTACAAGTAGGTATTGTTATCTGTATATAATATGAATGAAAATTAATGTTTTATTTTTTTAGACGATTTATAGCAAATTTTTATCGATAAATAATATGATAATATGTAATATTTGTATATTTCATAATATATATGTTAAGTAACAGGTGACAGTGTTAATTAATTACAAGTTTCTACAAATAGTAATAGGGTATTAAGATTTTAGTAAGCAGAAACTAAAAACATTACTTATTCATCTGATCGATTGCAAGTCTCTGGAGTATTAGCCTAGCTCCCACTGCTGGGCACAGGAGAGGGTTAAGGCCATAATTTTCCATGGTGCCCCATGCTAGTTGCAACGCATCCCAGGTAAAGCTAGTATTTGATTTTTTTTTTCAGAAATGTAGTAAAGGCATTCTACACAGCTGGTATGATTTATGATGTTCTGACCACATTTGGAGAGCTGACTGATGAGGCTGTACAGAATAGAAAATACGCTAAATGGAAAGCAGCTTACATTCACAATTGCCTTAAAAATGGGGAAACTCCTGTACCGGGTGAGCTTGATTTTTTTAACATTATAATTATGTTTACCAAATAAACTAGTCCTTCTAGTTCATTCTGTTTAATGGGTAGTGCATTATATTTATATGCCTCACTACAATGTTATAAACATTAAAATGTTGAAATAAGCATATTAAATGTTACAGTATTTTATAATTAATCAATGTTTACGTGATAATTTCTCTACTTATGTTTTGTGCTTTTTAGCAAATGAGTTGGTCTTGTGCCTGATTGGTCTTTAAAGGGACCGATCATATCTAGTTCAATCGGTCAACTGAACTAGGTCGGTCCTCTGTAATAAGTTCATTTAGTTTGTCTTGTCCTTGCTCAGACATTGAATGAACGCTCCAAGATCGCGGCGAGATCTGTTATTCACGTGAATTACGACGGACTTCTAGCATTATCAGGTCAATAGTACACTATCAAATATTAAAAAATACAATTTTGTGTGGAATAGGCACTATTTGATTTTCCTTCATACTTTTACAGGTTTAAGACAGTCATTCTAAATATCCTTTTTTGCAAAACAGTAATAAAATAACGTATATTTTATATTTTAGTTAGAATGGTGTAATTGAAAATCAATATTTACAACAATTTTACATAGTATACCATGTAGACATTATACATTCAGACAAAATACATTCCTACCAAAAAATATGAATACTTACTTTTTATAAGCTTATATACATATTGTATGTATTAAAGACTTAAAACGAGCCGACAACGTTCAGTCGTGCATTTCACTCGAACTTGTACTAAAAGCAGTGAAAGATCGGTGTCCGTCAGGACGGCTGGACCAAACGAGAAATACAAATCAAACTGTGCTTATTATTTACTACCTATTTTCTACTATTTAGTACCTTTATTGACGTATTTTTTATCTTAGCACTAACGGAAATGTTAAAGAAATAAAGTGGCCAGCTATTCTGACGTCAGGTTGTGGTTTACGTTTTTTATGGTTCTAGCAGTATATAATTGACTTTTTATATAACTATTTACTACCTAATTTCTACCTAAGCATACTTTTTTTCACTATTAGGAAGCTTCTATAAAAAGTTATTTAAAGAAAACGCCTTTGTAAAATTTCTCTTCTAAAAATGTTCTAAAAAGACAGTTTATCTTCTCCGTGTAATTGCTAATAATATTTTTGCAGGTGCTTAGAATATGTCAACAATGGTTTCTGGATTATCTTTGCAAGCAATATTTTATAACAATTATTATATTAATTACTAGTTGAATTCACTATTACATATGTAAATTTCATTTGTAGGTAATAAGTAATGCGAATGAATTCTAATCAGTTATTTAATCATTTTTTAGTGGTCATTTGATTCAAAAGTATATAGGTAAAGCAAGGGTAAAGCTGGGTTTGCTTAGCAATATTCTGTTCAGTACTATATTTTAAAATATTGTTATCGCTTTAATTGTAACGTAGCTACTATAATAATTAACTATGTAAATACAACTGAGAATAGATATTTTCATTCTTAATCATTTAGTTTAACAGACAACAAAAGTATATGTTGAAAGTCACACATCTTTTTCTTTAATTTTACACGAATGCTTGCTTGAACTAGTTTTTAGGCATCATACCTTAGTGTAATTCCTGGTGATATTTTAGGTTTAATTTGCATTGATGTAAGTTTCCAAAACGAAAACCAAGTACCATACTAGTGAGTATTTAGTTAAGCAGTCTCACTACACTGTTACGTAAACCCACCTTTACCGATTGATTAAATTAAATTATATAGGACATAGTTTTTTTATCTACAATCTGATCCTAAATTAACTTTTAATAAGTTTATATTATGATATATAAAGCGGGGAATTTGCTAAGTTTAAAATGAATATCGCGAAATAGGTTTTTCAAAAACAAAAACTACCTGATCCAGAGACAAATAAAAACCTTGAAATTCAAATATTTAAAATATTTTTATTTCGTTATTAATTCATAACATATGCGATGTTCAATAACGTTCTTATAGTGAATCAAGCCAAAAGTTCTTTTTTTCAGGAGAGCAGTTCGTAAACGCAATTAATGCGTAGGGACACCTGTTTTTTTTTATGGACCGTTACACTTTTTTCTACTATATTACGATGTTTTCGCGCTCTAATGAAAATTAACTACGAATTAAATATTTCAAGATCACATTGGTAACGTTGTTAAAGAGAACGCAACAATAAAAAATATTAAAAAAACGTGGAGACAAACCTTTGAAAGAAGAAATCAAGGCTACTCTGTTTTTCTTTACTGGCGACTTTATGTTATATAATTGATTAATTTTATTAGACATAACTGAGATAAAAAAAGTATATTGTTTTGGAATCAACAGTAGCAAACCCGAAGTATATAATTCATATTATATTATTTATATTTTAGTTTGAGATTTATTATAGGATTATGTGGTTAATATTTTATAATAGAATACTTACATATACAGTTACAATTTTTTTTCTACATTTGTTTAATTTCACTTTTATTATATAATATAATAACACAATTACACGCGATTTCATGGCATGGATTAACATTTCTTTAAATTAGGCACTTTAACTTAAAAACTTCAGTGGGATAAAATTAAAAATTTAGAGAACATTTGGATTCTAATGCAAAGGAAATTTAAAAGAAGAAAATAAATTTTGTCATTTTTACGTTATTTTCTTTTAGTAAACATCCTGTCCTAAAGGTGTGTCCAAACATAAAGCGGCATTCGAGCGCGGCTGCCGCGCGCGTCTTGCCGCGCTATGATTGGACGACTGCCGCGCGCGGCAGCCGCGAGCTACCTGCCGGCAAACTTGTGTCCCGCGAATGCCGCGCGTAGCTGCCGCGCACCTTGCACGCCGTGTTTGGACACACCTTAATAATTTCGTGTGTAGTCCTCTTCTGAAGTAAATGTTCAAACTCAATTTAGCACCTGTTTTTATTGTAGGTCCCATGCAATCAGAAGAAGGTGAATCTAGTGAGGTTGGTTTCAATGTCGATCCACCACCAACTGTGACAACACCACCCGAAGAACCGCAGACACCAGGGAATCAACCAAGCCCGCCACCACCAACCACCACATCATCTAACAACAGCAACAGTCTGCCCGATCCCAACGTGGCGATGCGTGCCGCTGAGCGATTACCTCCTATACCATATACCCCTGACCCCAATCCTGGTGGCTTTGTCCCTTACGACCCGACCCAGCAGCCACCCCAAACTACCCCATTTTACGGCGACAGCTCAGGCTCCGTAGCTCAGCTTACCCCAGACCAGATAACAAAAGCACAGAAATATTGCAAGTGGGCTAGTAGTGCACTCAACTATGAAGATGTTAAAACCGCAATCAATAATCTCAGGAATGCATTGGAATTGTTGCAAACAGGACGTGACCCAGCTTGAATCTTTTATAACTATTTGGATTAACGTATGGTTTTGTTAATCTTTTGTTAAAATAATATCTATAAAATAATGAATATTAAGAGTACTAACCACAAGCCTAGATTCATACACACTAAATGGTATGGCTAGATTTCAAAATTATTGGTTTTTTTAACTATAATTACATTGAATTCGTCAAATTATAATACATACTTAATGCATTATCTTACGATATCAGTATTTAAAATTGCACTTTCAAACGTTGTTCACGAAATACCTAGTTAATTAGTGTCTTGTAGTAGAGAAGATAGCCCAAAATCTAACCAATTATTACGTTATATTGTAAAGATTTAGTCCAAATGCAAGGAATAACATAATAGTACAGTAATTAACTGGAGTTAATAGTACACGTAACACGTAACGTATATTATCGCGATATGTAGTGCCTCGTTGGTGCTTCACATTTTGTATATAGGGGTAAAAATAAACTTATCGGTAACTCGGGGAAGAATTAAGTATCGACCATAGAATAAATAAAATATGTGACTATAAGGTACAGCGTTTATAAATGGGTATAAAGATTACCGCCTAACCGCAGACACGGCATACGGAAATCAATATGGATAATTTATTTCTAACAACGGTACTATAGTTGTTTTTTGTATGCAACCATTGACTTACAAAGTCAATGTATGCAACAAACATTAATCAGTAGTTTAATACATATATTTCCTGCATTCTATGATCGACACGTAATTTTTTTACCAAATTTCACTGGTGCACTTTTTTCTTCGACCTGTATAAATTGTATTATAATAATATGTGTATTTAAATAATTTTGAAATTACATGATATTTTTATTTTTACTAAGTGTGTTTTTAGTTTATAAATGAAACACGATATTTTTCTTCCATTTACTCACAAATCGTCACACTCCAAACACATCACACTCCACATTGTTATAATTAATTATCGTAAAATTATCGCGATTACATGTAGTATGCGTATGCGTTAACGAAATTAACATAATATTATTATAATTATGACAGTTATTAGCTTTGCGTAATTATAATGCTTCAAATTCAAACCAATATAGCAATAATGACTAAAAAATTATAGTTTATTTTAAATAGGGCTATTGAAAATAAATAGGTTTTTCTTCTGTCTGTTCATCTAATATTGAGCAAATCAGATACACCACATAATATAAAATGTGCAAGTTAATTTAGTTATCTATTTGTGCAGTAAAATCTAAAATCTACGCATTCTTATACAGTGGCAGTTAATTTCGTATCTTATATACGTACTTTCCACATCCACACATACAAAATGAACCTAGCAAGTATCGCTTAAATTAATATCACTTTCAGGTATAAATTCATTAAAAACATCGCACTGTTTTTCGAAACAACAAGGAAAGGAACAATTTCCTAAAGCAATTGGGTCGATCACAAATATCTGCTTCGATATACATAATAAGAACATAAATAATTATTTAACAAGTTGACTAGTTAAATCACAGGGTTTACCTTTCAATAAATGAACACTTCAGAGTTACGATCGATTAGTTTTTTGGTTCGCAATCACTATGAATTTGTAACTACTTTAATGACGGTACTCTTAACAAATTAATTTGTAAAGAACCGGCTTATTATTTGGCTATTGATTATTTATTTGCTGATAGTACCTACATTAATCTCTCTTCAGACCGTTCCCATTCTGAGTTGCTGCAGACTTCTCTTGCTCTTCACGGCGACTAATTTGGTACCTGATGTAATACACACAATGTTAAATGGTTGAATAACATTTAAACACTACTAACAAGTTGCTGAAAAAATGTTTACACTTTTTTTTATAAAAGAACCAGTGCGCATTGGACCTCCATTTCAAGTGATGGAAAGTGACGATGAAGCATATACACCAAAGTAATGCCTATTCACTCTCGCCTTGAAAAGGCGCAAATTGTAAGAGTTCAGGAAAGAAATCTGCAGGTAGGGAATTCCACTTCACAGGCATTCGTCATATAAATGTGGGAGCGTGACGCTTCGTATGAATCCTTGGGATATTCACAACAAAAGGTTGGAACCCCGATAGAATACCGATAAGCAATGACTCATTAACTACTTACTACTATACTGTCTTCTACCCTATCAAGCAAAATTAGACATACTAGTTGCTTAATAGAACACTAAAGTTATTGAACGTGTACTTTAAATATAAGAAACAACGTTGCGTAGTTGAGCATCCCTATGAACGCGGTAAAATCGGCACAATCGATATGTAATATTAATAAATTAAAATTTTTTAATTCAATAAGCTATTGCAAAAATAAATCTGCTTTATGAAGGACTTAAGATTGAAAATAAAAAGACTAGTAAGCGAGACCTATCTATGGGTTGGGAGAATGGGAATGTATTATCTGCACGACACAGTGATTCGTCATCGCGGAATCCCTGGCGAAGTGCCAAATGTTTAAACGCACGATAGCACTTATTTCGCAACTCATGTTTACATCTATTAAAATTGGTCAAGGCATCTCCGTAGTTACTAGACGGTAATTGAAGTCTTTTCAACCAAAATATTAAGATAATGAAAGGATAATGGAATAAGAATTTCAACTGTGTTAAACTTTCATCGCTGCGAAAATGTACGATTATGTATGTTGGCGTAAATTGATGTCGACTGAATTTTTACGGCCTTCATGCTATATTGAACAATGTGGTATTATTTATTACAACGTTCCCAGCGCTGTTATTAATATTCAGCGCTTCATACGTAAGGAACAAATATAAAGCTAAGCCAAATTGACGTCAATCACATCTCCCACGGATTTTCCATGGGACCGAAGCGGTTTTGCTTTTAAACATCTCAATTTAAACATATAGCAGTAATACAGTATTCAATTGTTTTCCAAACATATCATTAATATTGTCGTGAATTTTGATGCGTCAGTGCCAAATTACTGCTTGTTGAAAAAATCTTTTAATTTCCAATTCATATTACAAGCAGTATCCGAAAATGTTCGCTTTACACCATTTCCAGGTAAATACAGTATGTTGACTATATAATATTATATAAACAAGGAGCAATAAATATTTACCATACAACTAGGCGTCCACTCAGCATAAAGAAGAAGACCAAAGCCGGCGCGCAGCGATCGAAGGGATCCCCCACCATAACGTGGGAATACGCCGCGAGGATCATAAGCAGAATCAGCCCTATGTTTGCAAAGTTCTTTATTTTATCTGCAATTTAATTATAAATATTGGGTGTGAGTTGGTTAATAACCTCAGTGTGATAGATAAGGTCGCTTCTGCAAAATGAGACTTGTAGAAACAGCACTTTTAACGTATGATCTTATGCGGCTTTATTATACCAAGGGTACTACGAAGTTATTGTAAAAACGTAATAAAGTTCGTTTTATATACGTAAATCGGGAAAGCCGGAATCGAATTCCGTCCTTAACGGCTCCGTGCTCAATTTCTGAGCTGCTCACTCGACATTGACATCATACACGAAGCAATAAACATTACTACGGTCCATGCTACTACCTATGAAATGGTTATTGGCACTGCAGAAATAGAAAACATTATATATAGCATTGTAAACACATGCCATATTAATGGCAACTTGACAAAAATACACCAAAGCGCAACGGTATCCAAATTACTTAATATTGTGGAAACCTTTTTCGCGTTTTCTACGTATAACCTTCACCCGGACACTCCATACAACAGTCGAAAATTATCTACCTACTACTACTACATAGAGCAAGGCGCTATCTGCACACGCGCAAATGTGTGAGTGAAGTGGCAGGGCTACCCATCACTTTCTTGCATTATTACGTTACGTGATCAAAGCGGCAACGTAGTGAAAATGCTAACGCGAATATAATATCATATTTTTCATTAATTCACTAACCAGAGTAATATTAAAGATTTATTTAAAAATATATTAAAAGCCCTTAAAATGTTGTGTTTTGGACATGTACTTTTAAATAAGGTAACCAAGGTATTTGAAATTGCGTGTCCAAGTTGATCATCATTATTTAGTAAATAATTAGGTATATTCACTACTTACGTAATATTTATCGGCAATACGAATTGAAAATTCGAGAACCCTTGTCTACACAGACAGAGTTCCAGACAAGTTTTTTTGCTTATTTCGTTTCATCTTTCGGAAAATGATGATAAACAGTCGTACATAGCACAATTCACGTCCATTATAAATAGTAACGTAAAATGATGTTTTATATGAACGTACAAGTTTCGTAATGAATAAACTATATGAAAACTATATTCAAATATCAAAGCCGTCTTCGCACGAAAACGGCTCACCGGCAGCCTTGTTGTCGTACAGTCAATGTGACCGGCAATGTGCGGGGCGTGGTGCGGTATCTAAAGCTAGGGAAGGGCGGAGAGTGTCCGTTGTCTTTACTTTTTGTTCTCTGGTATAACGTAAAACCTGTATGGCCTAACGGTTTATTCTGTGGACGCTAGATGAGGAGGTCTTGGGTTCAATTCCCGGTATGACTAATTAGGAAATTAACTTTTCTTAATTACTTCTGCAGCTTAATTTTGATTGCCTCTCCCTATCGGAAATTGCGTCTTATCTGAGTCGAGGCGTATAATATTGCGGATAGGCTACCCGAACGGATCGATTCCGACTTGAATCAAAATCAGGGCCCTGGTCTAGGTGTTCAGGGAAGTGTCCCAGAGTCAATTTCATTGCTTCGGTACTCATAGTGCAAGGTAGGTTTCCTTAGTTTGAGACCAGGCGATTGGTGTGGTTGTCTGGAATACATTATAATAATAGGGACAATAAAAGTTTACGTGGAATGTGAACTTCGGTGAGCCCACCAATTTTTTATTTTATAATATCTAGATAGACGCCGCAAGTACATACAGCAATTTGTATTAAAACCAAGCGTGCCACATTTTTTGTACCAACCATGACCTCACAACATTGACTTACAAATAAATGGACGACGGGTCTAATACAAAAACTACGAAAAAAATGTCCCAAGTCAACCTTTTCGAAATTTAAATTGTAATGTCATCGCAGTATCGCGCTGTCAGTAGAACAAATGAAGACTAAAGCGGAGTGTCGCGCTCTGTATACGATTTTAGCGCCTTACAAGTGCGGACACTTTTTAGCGCGGACCCGACGTCCATATAATTGTAAGTCAATGCCTCACAAGAACTATTTAGTGATAGAAACCTCCTTTCACTCGCTCTAAATCGATTGATTGATTGATTGAACGGAATACGCGTAAACTCGCGTGTTCCATTCAATTAATCGATTCTAAATAGAATCATTTTTGTTCAAGTAGTAGTATTTGTTGATTACAAGTACTTAGTCGTATAATATTAATATAGTAGAAAAATAATAGAACAAGACAGTTTAGTCCTTTATTTTATTTGTTTGTAAAAAACATGTTAATTATCGAGTTCTTAGGTTTTCGCGATTGTTACACATTGGAAATGAAACTATTTTTCCGGATTTAAATCGCGTATATTTGTTTTTTTAAACAAACCGACGTTTCGGGCCCTTTACAGGTCCCATGGTCACGGTTGACTGAGGTGGTACAGTCTTCAACCAGTTATGTCTAATATTGATGCAAACCACCCTATTTTTTCACAAATCCGGAAAAATAGTTTCATTTCCTACATGTTAATTACTTAAAAAAAATTAAGACTTTAATTTTTAATCGACTTCAAATATTAAAATTATCGTCCTTCCAGTAAAATGAGCTTGTTATATAACATCCTTTTGTAATAGATCTTATCGTTTAACTTAAATAATGAAAACGCACGTCAATATATGAACTTGCGACTGCCTTAATTAATTTTAATAAATGGTTTTCTGTTGGTAATTGATCAAATTGATGAATGCCAAGACAAATGAAAATATTACTGCCGACAAAATGTGGTAAAATCTGATTAATCAGAAGAGGTTTACTTAATGACGGCCTCGTGTGAAATTTTTGTGATTTGTCTATTATTTCTCGGATTTCTAATTCTACTACTCTGCATATTTGGATAGCATCTTAGGTGGAATGAACTAGACAACATTCGTCCTCGAAAGCAACGAACTCATACATATAACCAACTCCAGGTTTTTGTAAAGACAGCGTACTGTTAATTCTTTGCATTATATATTTTTTTGTATTACTCTTACTACCGGCAATATATGTTATTATTTGCTCACTTTATACTACAAAATACTACAAAACTGAAAAAAAAAAACGAAACGTTACTAAACGACATAACAAAAGAGTTATAGAATATTTTTATAATATTGCTAAGGTCATAATAATTTTCGTCACTTTGTTTTCAAAATCGATCAGAATCGAGAACAGTGTTGCCTAACGTATACATCACTAAATGTTAAATTTGGCCAAAGAAATGTACAAGTGGCGGTACCACGCAACTGAATGTACAAAAGTGCTTTCGTTCGTTATGCATGGCGTATTAAAAAGGATCACAAATATATCGCACCAAGTAAAAGCCGCAATATATTACAAAACATAAGGCATACACTCGGTTTGCATATTTATTTTCTCGAAATCCATACAAAACCAAAATAATTGTTTTTAAAATAAATTGTGCCTTTTCTGATCACAAAATCACTTGCCCGTGGACGGAAACGTCCCTGTTTACCCGTTTACCTACAGTTATGGTGCTTTTGCACTTTATAATGGCACAATTATGCATTTTTCGCGTTTTCGACTGGTGTTTATCTAGGATAAACGGTCGAGCGCGTTCTGAAGTGTAGCAGCGGCAAGTAAGTGAATTTCACTTACTTTGGGCACGCGAAGTACGTACACTTGCGGCGTCTATCTAGATATAATGTCTGTGCCATACAAATATTTGTCCAGTCCCGGGAATCGAACCCGGGACCTCTGCGTGGCAGTCCAGCAAGATAACCGTTCGGCCACGGAGGCAGTTAAAATTGTGCTGCTAGGTAAAGTTTATTCAAGATGATGAACTTACGGCTAGGTATGAGTGCCAGAGCCAACCCGAACAATATTTCGAGTCCCCCAATAGACCTTCTGTACCATTTCGAGGGTAACTTGAAGTCGAAAGTTTCCGCCAAAGGAAATACTTTGGCATATCTCACGTATTCCTTTCTCTGTAAAGATATATGTACATAACATTAAAAAATAACAAATAGGAAAGTAGTTTTGTGAGGATGAAATGCACTAATCGTTATTGCTATTATAGTCCTATCAACGTGACGTGTAGAGGTCGTATGAAAGACACCTCGATTATGATTCTTATAATTAATTAAGTACTCATTTCAACGTCTATGAATTTCATTTCTCATTTTTTTAAATTGGAGTTTGTAGACTAAAGAGCACGGAGTAAAGATCAAAATAAATTTCTTGTACAAAAACAAATGATGGTACAGTCAAGAGCGCACCAAATGAAGCTTGAACTTCAATCGTTTCTCATCGCAAGCAGTTTAGAGATGAATTCTATTCATAAGTATCAAGCTTGACGCTCTTGACCGTGTATGTACCCGCAGTGAGATTTATAAATATACGTCAGAATGCCACGTTTTTTTATCAAATAAAATAACCTTGCTCTTATCACCCAGAGCAAAGATAGGCGTTTACGATAGAACGAGCTCGCCCAGAAGATACCTATTGAAGACTCGTTCCAATTGTTTCCAGTTCCCTGTGTCTTAAGAATCTAAATATCGTAATAAGATTAATAAGTTCTGTAATTTATTGTCCAATTTTGAATAAAAAAAATAACGCAGTTTATAAAGCAATGTACGAATGGTACTGGAAGAGTCCCAGATGATAATGTACAGAGCACATCAAGCTTGACATTTTGGACTGTTGTTACAGAGACATAGAATTGATTGTAAATGTTTGGTACGACATAAGAATGGAGTGCTCCGGACCTTCTAGTCGACCGAAGGGAACGGTGAGGGTGGAACTAAATTGAAAAGTTCCTGCGCCCTCCCCCGAAATGTATACGATAGAAATATCCGCACTAATCGACACGGAACCACAACAGGTCGGTCAGAGAAAGCTTTGTGTCCATGTAATAAGAGCGAAACTTTTATTCCTTTTTTGTTTATTGATTTTTCATTTCTTTATGAGAGTAGATATTTTTCCTTATTGAAATAAATACATGGCTATTTAAACAACCAAGCCCTTTTCTAATGATTTTAATAAAACCCAATCAATCGTAGTTAATACCACAAACCAAAATTTGTACCTATACAAAAAGGCGATGGCACCCGAAGGTAAAATTGCACCTGGTGATTACCAGAGTCTGAGACACCATTTGTAAGTACCAACTGTCTTGTTTCGTGAATCTTCGAAAAATTGCCTTTACAACAGAGTTCGGAAATGGCCTGTTTTTTTGATAAACATTATCAAATCAATATTTACAAAATAGTATTCGGAAAAGCGAGTAAGCACATAAATAATATCTTAAATTCCTGTTGAAATCATCTTAGTAAATATTTAATAATAGCTATTATTATTTTTTGAGTGACAATCATTTTTGAAAAAAGTTAGTTTTTTGAAAACCATACAAAATTGGCACACAAGAGTTTTCATCCTATCTTTGGAATCACTTGCTAAGCTTCGGGATTTGGAACACTGGGTAATATTAAGCGATTCACCACTATTTAAAATAAAAGTCAGAACATCTTATCAATCCCATGACGTCACAAACGAGACCATGCCTGACTGTGAGTTCACAGTGGCAATTGTCGTGCCGTTAGACCGATCGGAGATTTTGTTGGCAAATTGTATGTACAGCTCTCCCAATAGCAGTCTAATAAGAAACGTTTTGTATACAAATAATTTACGCGTTCGCTAGTGACGATTGTCACCGTATAGTCGTGGTAGGTACCTTAAAATAACTCGTGTTATATTTTTTAACATAATAAGAATGACTATATGTAACATGATAATTGATGATAAAATTGACTTGAATTGAGATGACAAAATTTTACGTACAACATTGGTGTTTTCAAACGAGTCCTCATATTTCTTAAGGTGACAGTATAAAAAGGCACATCTTCGCCGTGTTAACACATTCATAATTAATCCTTAAGTTAACCGACTCTCACAAACGGTAGTGAGACGAGAGCGCTTACCAAGGAGGCTATACAAACACCTACAAAGGGTTGTAGAATGTGCCATGCTCGAGATCACACTTGAGAGCGAACCAAGGGTGATGACATAGGTGAAAGGCACAAAAGGACAAAGTTGAACGAAAGTAAACGTGGTCTCAGATAGATAGATGTCATCCTACATGGTAACATACATACCGACACATTCCATCAAACTTGTCGAATTATTATGTTGTTTATGACAAGTATTCAAGGAACATGTTTAGCTGAGTTAACACAAAGGTACGTGGATTGATAAAGGGTTCCAATAAAAATAGTAGGTACATTGTTAAGTGCCTTTAAAATCGATTTATGTGGGCAATTAATCTGGAAAACCAGTGCTAACAAACTTCACATGTGGGATGTATACTACATGTAGTAGGTTATTGTAGAAAACTGGCAGAATTTATTAAAGCAATTAAATGAATCTAGTTTACTTAAGGAGCGACATGTTATAATTAATGTAGTCACTGACAGGTTATTTAAGAATTCGATTTATCGTTGGCATTAGTCTGGGGAATCACATTGCAGTGTCAGTAAATGTACGCCAATCAATTAATTGTAATTAAATGGGTTGTAGCGGGGAAGAGGGAATGCGTCTCGCGCCGTTCGCGGCGTCAAATCGCACCGTCAGACATCTCTGCGGCATTAGGCGGCAGGCCAAATACTAAAATAGCAAGCCACATCGCTCCGCAACAAAAATTTCAATGCACCTAGCGACCTTATAATATGTCCCTCGTTCATAACGAACACTACATGTATGCAACAACAACTTACCAAATCCTTGTGTAATTCCTTAGAAATAAATGGTGTTAATTTAGTTATTCCAACGAATATAAAAAATACTCCTAGAAGGATAGATAAACTTTTCAATACGATAGATCCCATTTTAACGAGCGTAATTTCAGCACTGATTTACACTTCCACACTCATTCTATTACCGCATGTCTAAATAATCAAGATATCGATTATGCATATAATCTATTGAATATAACTTAGATAATAATATTAAATAAATTCGGAATCATAATTTGAAAATGTATATATAGATCGACGAACGAAATAAAAAGAATTTAGGAGCAAACACGTTTCGCGCCGGCGCGCGAAAAAAAATCCATACCTAACCACAGAGTTACTATTATAAAAAAAAACAGAAATTACTGCTACTTTTTTATTAGGATTTTTGTCTTGGATACAAGTATATCGAGTTATGTCATTTAGTTTTAGGAATCCTCAATAAATATTTTCTGTTGTGTTTTTAATACACTTATATAATGGCAAAAATAACTTTGGGTTTTTTAAATAGTCTATTAAGCGACGGGAGTCATTATTCATGTTTTAATTTTCGCTTAATTCACTTGCTAATAAAGGACGTTGAATATGAACACAGCTTAGCAGGTATTTCTTCTAGTATGCTTCCACACCATTTGCCTTTTATACCTTGATCCTTCTTTCACAAAGTTTCCCGTAATGTTATCATAATCTTAATTTGAATATCTTAAAACTTAAGTCGTTTCATTTCAAATCCCGCCATTATACGAGATGGTGGTAGTGATAGTAACAAGTCATTTGCTCACTCAATTTCTTTCTTTATATTGGCATTGTCTGTCAAGTAAATGTGTGTGATCATGGACGTATTATGTGTGTGATAGACTAAGGGTCGTATTCTAGAACTCTATTCAATGCTCAAGTCAGGATTGCACTGGCAACACAAGCACTGGAAATACGACCCTAATGGCAGGGACTTGAGTATGATTTCTAGTACTTTGAATCATACTCAAGTTCTGACTTAAGCATTGAGTAGAGTTCTAGAATACGACCCTTAGGGTCGTATTCTAGAACTCTACTCAATGCTCAAGTCAGGATTGCATTGGAAACACAAGCACTGGAAATACGACCCTAATGCCAGGGACTTGAGTATGATTTCGAGTGCTTTAAACTGTACTCAAATCCTGACTTGAGCATTGAGTAGAGTTCTAGAATACGACCCTTAGGGTCGTATTCTAGAATTCTACTCAATGCTTAAGTCAGGACTTGAGTATGATTCAAAGCACTAGAAATCATACTCAAGTCCCTGCCATCAGGGTCGTATTTCCAGTGCTTGTGTTGCCAATGCAATCCTGACTTGAGCATTGAATAGAGTTCTAGAATACGACCCTAATTAATATCTGTCTCTGGGTATAAGTTTATTTTTTCTTATTTCTCTTGGCTTTTCGCGGTAAGCGTTTTAGCCACTTACCAAGTGTTTTGACTAGGTGTAAGTTGTACAGTCTGTCTTAGGAATGGGCGTTACAAATTGCATATAGTTATGGAATTTTTATATTGTGCCAATATAGAATATCCGATATCGTGTATCTTAGAAACTATATATCGATATTGCTCCGCATCGCGTATTTTTTTTTTTTTTTTTTTTTTTTTATTTATTTATTTCAGGCAACTAGGGCCCATAGATACATACCTTACAAACTAACATACATATAATATAACAATAATATAATAACACAATAACAGAAATATTAAATAAATACCTTACGGACTAATCATAAATACAATATAACATGATAATATACATATAACACTATTTATTTACACGTATGTACTTCGACGTGTGACGCAACGTGGGCGTCCGGTAGCCGTCCTCGGAAACGCCGGTACATGACACCCTTCGGCCAAAAGTCTTCTCTCATAAAGGTCGACAGGTGTTGAGTTGGTACTCGCACCACAAAAGAATTAAAATTCACATTGTGGCGCGACTCCAACCGCTCGACCCTCAGGTTTGCGTTGGCCTTCACTGGCATGTACTCCACAATATCCGCAGACTTGGTGGAGTAATGAAGACGCGACACGTATAACAACGTCGTCGGTACCGCTGGACGCAATAAATGATTCGGGCCAGTCAGGGCGGTGCCACTAAGGTTTCGGCTGGTGTTCTTCTTTTCCTTTTCCACCTTCCGAAAGCCGTCCTCGTCGCACTGATCAACTCGTCTCGGTGGTACTGACGACGCAGCTCCTGATACGAGTTTCTTTTTCGGTTTTCCCTTCATTGGTTGCCTGGGTCGTGGTTGTGGAGTACTAGGTCGGGCAGCGGCAACAGCTGCGTAATCACGTGGAGGGGTCGTCTCCGGCGGGGCGGGATGCGGGGAAATGCGCGCGGCAACAGCGCCAGAGGTCGGCGACACATGCATTTGAGCCGACTCAAAACTGCTGAAAGAAGCATTTTGCGCCCCGCGACAAGTCACGTTGCAGGCCTCAGGTGACCTACTTACCGAAGCCGCACTACTAAGTAATACAACTTGGGCACGCAACTCACTGATGGTGTTGTCTGAGGCCTCCAATTTACACTGAACTTCAGCAAGGCTTGCTTTTAGGGACGTGATGTCCTTCAGCAGCCTAGTGACGTCGACGTGGTCGAACGTGACAGGGGGCAGCTTATGCAGCTCCTTCGCCATGAATGCAGGCACGTCGTCTGGGTCGGTCTCCTTGAACAACGTAATGATGTCCTGGAGACTCTTCGCTCCTCCATCTCTCCGACGAGACGGCATCGGCTCGGCTTTGCCAAACGTCCGGAAAAGCAGCGCCTTGCCACTGCAAATCTCTTCTTCTTTGAAATTTGACTTGCAGATCTGCACGATGCTGACTTCGTCCATGGTATCTATGGCGTGTTGTATAAACGCCAACAGTTCGTTGGCTATGAGTTGCTGAGAACCCATAGTCAATTACGTGCGGCGGCTATTGCCGCGCGAGTCGCGAATTATTATAATTCTTATTGTGCAGTGGAGCACGTCCGAATCCGAGCGTGCACCGCACCGCACGTGATGCCGAATCAAATCGAGCGATTACCGAGTGGATACCAACACAACATGGATTCTCCAAATTATGTACCGATATTGCTTTATATCACTTCACTTCACTTTTTATTTTTATGGCTCCATCAATATGAGAACTGATGATTTTGCCAATGTCACAGTTGAAAGAAAAAAAACGAAACAAAAAAAAAAATTCGCAAGCTCTAATAGGACATTAACCGGTGTTGGTAAGTTGGACTACGGGAGTACTCAGTTGAGAATGTAAAACAAAACAGCAAAACAACATTTATAAATATATGTTATAAATATTCACTGAGTGGGTATCAACGCGAAACCATTTTTTGTGCGTCTTCGAAACTGTATACTAATTTTTTTTTTATTAATTTATTTCTGGCCATGGAAACAAAGTCCTTCAGCCGAAAACATAAAAATAAGTTTTTCTGTAAATATGGCCGCCACAAAGAGGATAGGCAATTTGAGGCGGCGTGCTTGGATTGACTCGGGATTCCTTAGAACGGGCCGATACGGGTATTTTAGTTCGAGATTCGTATAATTTCGCGTTTTAATCTTCGATTAAGGCACAATAGCACTAGTCTATTCCACTTTAAACTAGATTTCACAAAATAATTGAAAGTCAAAATAAAAACGACACTTTTCCCTACAAAAGGCCCAGAGCGAATGCACTGTATACTAATATTGGCCTGGATTGCTATTGTAAAACTATATCCAATAATATATAGTTTCGAAATCTGATTCCGAATCGAATATCAGTAACGGCAATGTATCAACGCAGCGCGCATGCGTGCTGTATGTTGAATATATCCGTACCTGAGAAGATTTACACTGTGACCGCCATTTTTCTAATTTTACAGGAGAAGAGAAGCGATTTTGTGTCAAATTGCAGCATATGTAACATTTTTATACCATAAAAATAAAACTGATCAGTTTTTAATAACAGTATGTTCTAATATTCAAAATTTGGTAACAGATGAAGGCTGTTTACATAATGAGATCAATTTCTTACTTTTAGCGATATTTATAACAATAAAACAAAAAACTAGTTCACATACCGTGTTCTGCTTTTAAACAAAAATCAATTTTTTTCATTATTTTAACTAAAGTAACCTTTGTCAGTATCAGTCATCCCATCACGCATTCGGTACCTACAAGGGTGCATTTCACTTTCCGAATTTCAATGGCACTTTTTGAGTGATTTTTGTAAAACCCTTTTTTCTTTTAGTTTTAAGGTCTTAAACGTACAAATAAGTTCAAGCAATGTCAATAATTATAAAATCACAGAAATATTTAATAAAAATACAAAAAAAAAAAAACTATATTTTAGGTCACACGAATGAGATTGCAGTAACACGAATGATTTTCTAATAAACATAAATGAGAAAGACGGCACAGTAATGAGAAATTATTATTACAACACACATTTTATCATTCACAAAAGAACATTTAACATGTAACAAATATATGTAACTTCTATCAAAATCCTTTTCATCCGTGTAAGACCATCATCTATCTATATGTACAGCTTGGCAAAAAAGAGTATGACGCGGTGAAAACTGGAACTAAAAAAAGATATTTGTGATATTTGTGGCAACACTATTAAAAATGTCTGTGGTGTCAAATAACCAGTAGCTTTTGTGTTATTGCTGTATGCGCTGAGTAATTTTATACGAGGTTCTGTAAATTCTCGTACGGTTGTTGCTTGTTTTGTTATTTAAAATGAACAAAACGATTCGTAGTAATGGTAGAACAGTGATGTACCAAGTTTTTTTACGATGTTTGGCTGAATCTCAAGCAGGACAAATTTTGTCTGAAATTAACAATGTTTATCAGAGAATAGCCGAAATCACAGGTATTTATGCAAATTATTCAATTATTATTACGTTCTACATGTCGAATTACGCACTTTGCTACTTATAATATACAATTAACGAGTTTTTGTGTTTAGTTGATAAAATAGTAACTAAGGTTATGTTTACGTATCATTTATAAGTTGACTTAATATTTTTGATTCTTTCAACACTTAAAATTCAAATAAATTGGTGTTTTTGTATATGTTTGGTATTTATTTTAGGTAAATCTGTCAATACCATAAGAAAAATTGTTGAAGAAGGGGAAAAAAATAATGGCGTGTTTTCTACACCTGGTAAACATAGGAAAGGTCGATGATTTTAACCTCTGCTCAATTAGACAAAAGGTTCATTTCTTCTACACGGTAAAAAAACAGGCATGTATTATATTTTATATTAATGTCACTTTCTTCAATAAAAAAACAGTATTATGTAATAAATAAAAACTTTTTATTTTTTTCTTAGGTGCCTAACACTAACACTAACACTACGAAATTTATTACCTGTAGTTAAAGAAGATTTGGGATTTAATGGAAGCCGTGAAAGATTGACCAAAGAAAGATCTCGATGATTTTGACCTCTGCGACATTAGACAAAAGGTTCATTTCTTCTACACGGTAAAAAAACAGGCATGTATTATATTTTATATTAATGCCACTTTCTTCAATAAAAAAACAGTATTATGTAATAAATAAAATCGGAAGTGCACGGGCGCAAATTACAAAATTAATTTGTAGAAATTCTTTATTAGCCCTTTTTACTTCTTTTATAACTTATTTTGCCTAGATTCAATTGGTCAATTCAATCTAAGTTTTCAATTGTGATGACTGACGACAGTGGTGGCAGGATTTCTGCCACCAAAAGAAAAGCCACAATTCGGGAAAATTCTCCTCCCGCCAAAATGGCGGCAAATTTTAATAGGACAAAAAGAGGACTGTTCAAGGAATACAATCATATTTATAAAGAAGAAGGGAAAAAAGATTATCCAGTGTTGCTTTCTATGGCCCCATCCATTGATGAATCCTCCTCTACAAAACTGGACCTGTTAAAAATAAACAACATTTTGAAATCGGTGAAAGGTGTTTCATATGTAAGACCTGGGGGCCAATCGCGCTAATTGTCAAAGGTTTAACCAAAACCTCCAACCTCGCCAATCTGACACGTTGTGTACATTTCGTATCGCGCTAACTGTCAAAACAAAAACCTAAGCCTAAACTTAGACGTGTGACACGTAACGCACATTTGGTATCGCGCTAATTGTCAAAGGTAAAACCTAAACCTTAAACGTTGCCAATTGGTATCGCGCTAAATATTTTGACGTATTAACCTCACATGTAACCTTGGGGGCATAGATTAACCTTTGAAAGATTAACGTTTGTGTGGCAGTTAATGGAGAGTAACTTTTCACTACATTTATCGTATATTAAAGATGTTCCATGGTTACTTAAATGTTTCGGAAAGTGTTTATGAGGTGGATGTGGCCTAAGAACGGGCTTTAAATAAAAGAAAAGCATAGAAAGGCGATCACATTTAACATGTCTGAGGAGAAATTCCGCAAACGATATACCGTTTGTCCACGGAATTCATTTCAGGATTGGTGGAAGAACTATGCCTACATATTCTCGTTAAAGGACGGTCTGTTGCATTGGATGTGGAGACAAAGGTAAGGGTTAAGTGGAATCCGAAAGTTCTCAGTTTTGCATAATAACCAAAATTTCTATACTGTGTAAATCATTATTAATTTTGTTACAGATTTTAATAGCTCGTATAGTCTTTAACAACTGGGGTGTACCAGACCCCCATTGGCAAGTGCTTATCACCCTTTCCCAAGCCAGTGTCAGAAAGGCACAAGCGGTAGCTGCTTCAAATAAACCAGTTATTATGAATAAATATGCAGCTTTCCTAAAAGGCATGCCAAAAGAGATAGTATTAAAAGGCGGTGAGAAAATAAGCTTTACAATGTACATCATATTTATTAGTTCTTGTCTTAATATTTCCTGTTATTATTATCAAATAAAAATGAGAGATATAGGTAAAATATGTATAGTTGTATAAAAATATATTACAAGGTTACAATTTATCTCTTTTAACACTTGACTTTATACAACATATCGTCCCCTTACAGTGAAGCCTCACATATGCATTTTCAGTTAGTTTTTACTGATTTTTGTTGAATAAAAATTAATAATGTAATAATATAGTATCTAAAAGAGGTATAATTTAAGTAATTAAAATGCTAACTACACACATTATTGCATTTACTATACTTCACACCATATTTTTATCTTCATCCTAAAAAATTACATAGAAATATGAGGTATTCATTCTAAGATGACGATGTATACCTATTGTAATTGTTTATTATCTTAATATCTAAATTGATGTATACTTTTAAGAGGTTGAAATAAAAAAAAGAGTGTATTTTTAGTTTATTTATTGCCTCAATCTACCCCAAATCATCCTTCATTTCCAGAGCGAGCTTGCTTTTGATTCTTCAAAGAAGTCTGAAACAAAAATATGTATATAGTAAGATTGGAGACCTAAATTTAAGACTGTGCCATACCTCTCATGAGAGTAGTGACAGATAAAGCAGGATGGGTATTTATATACATACAGTATGAAGCCAACATAAACGCCAGAATGTTTAGGGGCCTTTTCAAAATACATTTAAAAAAATGTTTATATCACTGTGGAAATATAAAGGGGACAAAAGTCTACAGATTAGACCTTCGTTCCTTACGCTCTTTCAGATTTCCACAATTGAACATATCATCAGCAGGAATTAAGAAAACATGTTGAAAACAAACCTGTCATTCTTGTTAAATATTCTATCAAAAAGGTTAACTGCAGGCACCAACTCGGTAATTGCTTTGCAAATGGCAGCTACGGATTGGGCATGCAGATCATTTCACTGCTTTGGCAGAAATAATAGTTGCCTCAGCCTGCATACTGCCAGCATTCACTTGCTGCAAGAATGCTTCGCATGCTCGCAGCTCCTCAATGCATAAGAATTCTACCCGGCTCTGCTCCAACGCTCATCAGCTCGCTGTCAACGAAATAATAGATGTGATGTAATAGAGTGAGAAAGAATTTGCTCAAATTGAAAGTTACTTTGTTTTTTAATTAATAATAAAGAGTGAGAAAGTTTGTTATTTAATTGTATGTTTGAAGTTATTTAGTTACTTTGTGCTAGAGTTGGTGTCCTTTAGGAAGGTTGGTAGGGCCTCTGCCGCAGTCGATGTGGCGTAGATTCTCACCCTGCTTTTCATACCATTCCATACCTGAATAACAATAATAACATTGCATATTATAGTGATATGAGTTCTGGTACAATAACGGTGAGTGATCCACTCACTGTATCCTATTACCTAGCATTATAGCTCACCTTTTGGGATCTATTGCGGGGCCACAAAATAGCCACACACTCGCACCAAAGGCGTGCTGATAACACGCGCGAACAACGCCGAGCGAAGTCATTCTCAAGCCACATCTCTGTGCGATTCGAACTCCAGCAAAGATGGAGCTGGCTTACAGTGGTCGGTCGCCGTCCGACCGCATCCACATTGGCTGAAATACGAGCATCATTATTAATTCTACATTGCTAACATTTCGAAATTAATAGTAGTTAGCGTACCTATTTGATTGTATAAAAAGATACTATTTTATTAAATAGAATATTAAAAAAGGAAAACAATGTGTAGGTACTTGCCTCTGCGTGTTTTATCTACAACAACAACACACTAAATTCAATTAATTTGGTTCAAATCACAACACATATGTTTGTTTACAATAGAATTTAATGACATTTCTTTTACACACTTTTTTAAATCGCTCTTTTATAGACTTGAATTCGTAGATATTGACATTTCAGTGCGTTTTACGGTAAAATTTAGTCGGTTTTAGGAAGTCAAGGCACGTCTCTTAAAATTTAATACGAGGTTATAGTTTGAGGTTAATTTGAGGTTTAGGTTCATTAAAACTGATAGCGCGATTGCATTTTGTGCCTCGGTAGAACCATTAATTAACCAAAACCATAACCTCAAATGTTGTAAGGTTAAACCTTGCGAAAATAGCGCGATTGGCCCCCTGTTGGATTACGCATCATAAAAGTATTTTTTTCATCCAAAGCAGATGCTAATAACTTCATCATGAATAGCAAACTTCAAAAAACCCATGGAAGGATCGCAAGGATCCCATACGATCATCTTGAGTCACAAGGTATAATTAAAGTGCCTACTGAACTTACTGAAGAACAATTGATTCAAGAGTTGCAAGCTGACATTGAGATTATAGGGATAAAGAGATTTGAAAGGAAGATGGATAATATTCTTGTTCATACCCCTACAGTTTTGGTCACCTTCCTCAGTTCCACTGCCCCTGATCATGTAACTTATGATTTTATATGGTTTGAGGTGAAGAAATATGTGAGACCTTTACAACAATGTTTCACATGTTATAAATTCGGCCATAGTAAAAATTCATGTAAATCAAAACAGGTTTGCTCCATTTGCTCTGGAGAACACTTCTTCAATGTGTGTAACAACCAAGCCAATATAAAATGTATTAACTGCAAGAGCACAGACCACATTGCTGTTTCTTCTTTATGTCCTATAAAAAAGGCTAAATTAAATGAAATTAAAGATCAAATCAGCGGCAAGTCCACCTATGCCTCAATAACAGCAAAATCTGCTTTTCCTTCTTTGAAACAAGAATCCTCAAGGCCACAGCGAAGAGCCTTACTGTCTGAACTGATTAACTCCGATGAGGTCATAAGTGTTATTACTATGACAGTGTTAGATATTCTTAAAAAAAAAAAGATTCTGTTTCTTCAACAAAATCAGATGCCAGCACCTTAGTTTCTTCTAAGGTCATAAAGGAGTTGCTTATTACTAATTTTGCTTCATAATATGGATTTTCAGGGTAATATTAAGCAATTTGTAATCTTCCACTGGAACTCTCGTAGTGTCTTGTCTAAGTTATCTAATCTACAACACTTTATTTCCTGTTCAAATACTGACATCGATATAATTCTTCTTAATGAAACTTGGCTTACTCCTGACAAATGTTTTAGGATTCCTGGTTATAACATAGTCCGACAAGATTCTAGTCGCCCTCATGGTGGTGTTGCTGTTGCTATTAAAGGTAAGTATAAGTTCTCTACCATCTCTTGTGACAAATGCTATGACTTCCAGAATATTTTATTGTCTGTTTCTCTTGATTCTTTGTCACTGGATATTTTATGTGTTTACTTGCCTCCTCCTCCAAATGGCAAATTTCAAATTCAACAACTGAATAATGTTTTTTCTAAAATCTGTAATAAAAATTATATCATTGTAGGCGATTTTAATGCCCATCATATTGCTTGGGGTTGTAGAAACGTTGACAGAAGAGGCAATTTGATCTATAATTTTGTTGATACTCATAATTTAGTATATTTAAACGATCACACTATAACGACCTTTGCTCCATTTGGTCAACAAGGCAATGTACTCGATTTAGCATTTGCTTCTCCATCAATTAGTTCCAGCTGTACACTTTCAGTATTAGACGATCTTATGAGCAGCAACCACTTCCCTCTACTAGTTAGTTTGTTTTACAAGGAATGTGTGCAGAGCCATAAGCAGTCTTCAACTCACTCTGCCGCTCCAACCACTCCCTCTATACACTGCCTAGCTAATCTCAATTATAATAAAATAGATTGGTCGAAATTTCATGATTTATGTACACACAAATTCTCAACTTTTACTATTAATCCGGATCCACTCGTTGCGTACACTGACTTTATTCAAATCTTAGTTGACATCTTACTGACATTTCATACAATGAAGGCGATGTTTTGCCATAATAAAAAACGTCAACCGTTGCTTTGGTGGAACGATGTTTGTAGTCAAGCTGTTCAACAAGCTAAAATTGCTCTTGATTCATTTAGGATTTATCCATCTCAAGAAAACTATCTTTTATTTAAACAATTTGATGCTAAGAAAAAGAAAACACTTTCCGAGCAAAAAGCATTAGGTTGGGCCAACCTTTGCTTTTCTTTCAACCGCGTAACTTCCACTAAACTAATTTGGGATTATATTCGCAAATTTAAATTTGCTAAGCTCCGTACCAGCTCTAAATCTCACTTTTTTGACGATACTAAAAATATTATGATGTTTCTAGATAAAATAACTTCTTCGTCACTTACTTGTAATTTTTCTACTCATTTACAATATTTATTTTTTAATAACAGCTCTAGTTCAACTCAATGGTTGACTGATACATTTGGATTTCATGAGCTACAAAGTGCTTTACTGAATAAGAAAAGTAGTTCTCCAGGTCCAGACTATATTACTTACAAAGTTATTCAGTGTTTACCCTTCCTGGCTAAAACATTTTTGCTAGAAATTTATAATAGGCTTTGGAAAAAAAGTATTATACCTCCGGATTGGAAAATCCAGTATGTAGTTCCTATATTAAAACCTAATAAAGATGCTAATAGCTTAGATGCATATCGACCTATTTCTTTAACTTGATGTTTTTCGAAATGCTTCGAAACTATGCTTAAAAACCGTCTTGAGTGGTTCGTGGAAAATGGTCAACGCATACCTGACTTTCAATTTGGGTTTCGCAAAGGGAAGAGCATCTTGTATAATTTAGCTTGTTTGGTAGGTGATATTAAAAATAATTTTGTGAGTAACAAAAGTACTTTGGCTGTTTTTTTGGATATTAAAGGAGCTTTTGATAATATAGATCATGAATACCTAATCAAAAGTTGATCCCATCTAAATATACCAGGTTTAGTTTTACGTTCGATTTTTAATTTCCTTAACGATAGAAACACGTTTATTAAATATAAAAATAAATTGTATGGCCCCAGGAGTTCGTTTAAGGGAACTCCTCAGGGTTCAGTTCTTTCACCGCTTATTTTTATTTTAAGTCTTGTGGGTTTCATGAAGCGGATTCCTGATTCTGTGCATTACTCTTTTTTGCAGATGATCTTGTTGTATATCTAAGTTGTGATAATCCCAATAAAGGGCAAGATGACATGAATGAATGCTTACGAATCATTAATGACTTACTTTCTACTGATTTAAAACTTGAAGTCAATATTGCTAAGAGTTCTGTAATTTTATTTTCCAGGAACGGACCTTTTGTCCCAAAAATTTATTATAATAATTATTTATTGCCATTTCAACAGTCAGAAAGGTATCTTGGAGTAATTTTAGACTCCAGTTTATGTTGGAAAGCTCACATTGAGAATATTTGTAAGAGAACTGAATTGGGTTTGAATATCCTCAAATCTTTGATTGGTGTAAATTGGGGTTCAGATCCTAAAACGTTAAAAATGTTATACATTACAACCATTCGCAGTCATTTTGATTATGCTTGTATGTTTTATTCTGATGACGAAATGCACCTCCTTAAAAAGTTAGATATTATACAAAACAAAGCTTTACGTATTATAACTGGTGCCATGATGTCATCTCCCATCAACTCGCTTGAAGTTGAATCCGGAATTGTACCATTATGTATCAGAAGATCTTATCTAACTGATAGATTTTGTTTACAATTAGTAAGTCGAGATAACGTTATCGTTTCAAAATTTTTAGAGAATTACTCTGCTCCTAATTTCAACGAAGCTTCCTTATTAATTTCTACCACATTAAATAACTCTATAGCATATTTAAATTTTCAATATCAGGATGTTGTGCATTGGTGTCATAATATACCCTGTTATAACTTTCAATTCCTCAGTTTAGTTATAGACATTCCTATCAATATCACACGCTTTGATAGTAAATTCGATTTTTATGAGTTTTTGGATGGCATGAGAGATTTTCACAAGATATATACAGATGGTTCCAAAACAGGAGACAGAACTGCATTTGCTTTTTACGATGCTGATTGTCGTTTTGGTAAAGTATTTGAATGCAATTCCTTATTTTCTATTTTTTCAGCTGAGGTGTTGGCACTGATTTATGCACTTGTTTACATTAAACAGAATCACACATATAAAAAATATTTAATTTTAACTGACTCAATGAGTGCTCTTCTGGCTTTGTCCAACAAATTAATTAGTGCAAATTGTAATTATTTGATATACTCTTTAAGAAGTCATATTTTTAATTTAATGTGTGACAATGTAGTTGTACAGTTTTGTTGGGTTCCTGGTCACTCCGGTATTTTAGGAAATGAATTGGTTGATTCTCTTGCTAAGTCAACTGAGAATGTTGAATTTTGTAATTTTAAAGTTCCTTTTACCGATTTACATTTAGCTGTTAAAGAAATAATGTTCATCCGGTGGTCCATGTCCCTACACAGTTCTAGAAGCATCAAAGGTAAATGGTTGGCTGAGATTCAGCCAACACCTTCAACAAAGGCTTGGTTTGAAAAAAATACTACATATTTAGGAAGACAATATATTACTGGACTGTGTAGGTTACGCATTGGCCATTGTAAATTTCCTGCTCATTTAAATAGACTTAAGTTAATATCCAATCCTTCTTGCTTGTTTTGCCATAGTAGTTTTTCTGATTTAGATCATTTATTTTTTGTTTGTCCCAATTTTAATTTACAACGTTTACTTTTCATAGCTCAATGTAAAGACATTTTAAAAAAGGATTGTTTATTTCCTAGTACTGCCCAGGATCTTTTACAGCATTTAGAGTTATATAAATTTATTGATAGTTTTGTAAGTCATACATTTGGCCATATTTAAGTTTTATTATTTTTTTATTGATTCGTTCGTGTTTATATTTATAATCCTCTGTAAATAATTTATTCTATTGTTTAGTTAAGGTTTAGTTTTAGTACATTCACTTTTATTGTAATACATTTTTATTTAGTTATCTTTTTAAGCTGATGACCTTGAAGCCAATGCTTAATAAATTAAAAAAAAAAATAGAATAAAATCTTTTTATTTTTTTCTCAGGTGCCTACACTACGAAATTTATTACCTGTAGTTAAAGAATATTTGGGATTTAATGGAAGCCGTGAACATCTAAGAAAGATATCACATTCTCTGGGTTTCTCTTACAAAAAATGTAAAACAGACAGATCGGCACTAATGGAGAAGTCTAATATAGCAGCAAAGAGGGAACAATATTTAAAAATTATAATGCATAATAGAAAGCCTCAAGAACTCCAAAAACAAATTATTTTTTTGGATGAAAGCTACGTACACTCATCTTACAAGCTTAAAAAATGTTGGCAATCAATTGAAGCTAGTGGAGTGCGACACAATATATCTAAAGGCAAAAGATATATTATTGTGCATGCTGGAAGTGAAAAGGGGTTTGTTCCAAATGCACTATTAATTTTCAGTGGCACAAACAAGAATGAAGATTACCATTCTGAAATGAATAGAGCAAATTTCACTAAGTGGGTTACCGAGAAATTAATTCCCAATTTGACAGAGCCTTCCATTATTGTTATGGACAATGCTCCTTACCATTCAGTAGTCATCAATAAGGCCCCAACCAGTGCAACAAAAGTTGCTGATGTAAAGCTGTGGTTGCTACAAAACAATATACGTGATGAAATTATGTGTAAACCTGAATTGTTAACGCTTGTAAAACGCCACAAACTAGAGGCCCTTTATGAAATTGACCAAATATTGGGCGATCATGGTCACACTGTGGTACGTGTTAAAGATAAAGCGGTAGGAGATATATAGTTTAAAACAAAGAACCTTTGACGATAATAAGTGTATACTTCAATATCAATTTTTCTTACAATACAACACTGACAAAACAATAGCTGGTCGCTAAGCAACGGACTACATAGTGTTGTCCTAATATTCACCTCTCTTTGAAACACCAGCCATCTTCTTCAGCGTCTCGGTTCTGGGCCCATAAAGTGGTTTGGTGAGGATGTCAGCAATCTGTCTAGTGGCAGGCACGTAACATATACTAATGCTCCCATCTTGAATGCATTCTCGTATGAAGAAAGATCGAATCCTAATATGCTTTGTTCTTTGGTGGAACTCGGGCGGATTCTTAGCTAATCTGATGGCAGACTCGTTATCCACATTCAGGGATGCTTGACATTCTTCATTAGTAATATCTTTGTAAATGCTTTTTAGCCAAATGATTTCTCTGGCGGCTTCACTCGCAGCTACAATTTCTGCCTCTGTGGAGGAGATGGCCACGGTATTTTGCCGTTTGCTGCTCCATGATATCGGGCCTCCTGCGTACATGCATAAAATGCCCGAGATTGACCTTCCAGTTTTCATGCAACCTCCATGATCAGCATCACTATAGCATTCTAACTTGAGGACTTTATCCGGTCTGTAGATAATGCCTTCATCTATCGTTCCTTTAAGATAGCGCATTATCCTTTTGACGTTAAGTATAATATCCTCCTTTGTTGGCTTTTCTAAATTACGAGATGCCACGCTAACAGCATAGGCTATGTCTGGCCTTGTACCTGTCATCAAATATGCTAAGGTACCAACTGCTTCTCGATATGGGAAAGTTATAGCAACTTCTCTATCTATTTGGACATTACTTGGCTTCAGAATCGGCGTTGGCACCGGTTTTAGAGTCTTCCATGCCAAACAGTTTTAGTACACGTGCAATATATGCCTTCTGATGGAGAAGAATGGAGCCGTCGGAGTTCCTTTTTATCTCCATCCCAAGGAAATAGCTTGCTGGTGCTCTCATTTCTTCTAGAAAACAGTTAGCCTCTTTCTCGCTTGAAGACGCCATTAGACCATCGTCAACGTATAGGGTTAGAATAATTTTCTCTTTCCCTCTTGTCCTTACGAAGAGACAAGGGTCATATTGGCTTTGTTTGAAGCCTGTCTTCATGATATAGTCTGTGATGCATCTGTTCCAACATAGTGGGGCTTGTTTAAGCCCATATAAGCTTTTCTTCAACTTGAAGACATGCTTTTCACCAGTATAACCTTCAGGCGGTTTCATATAGACTTCTTCGTCTAAAGTTCCATAAAGAAAGGCTGTGGAGACGTCAAATTGTGCTAATTTTAGCTTATCCTTAGCAGCAATGCTCAACAATGCTCTTACAGTGCTGCTTCTGGCAACAGGACTAAAAGTTTCATGGAAATCTATGTCCTTTCTTTGCGAGTACCCTTTTATGACTAGCCGAGCTTTGTATTTGTCTACAGAGCCATCCGGGTTAGTCTTAACTTTGAATATCCACTTACAAGGAATTGCTTTCCTGCCTTTCGGTAATTCGACTACCTCCCAAGTTTTATTTTCTCTTAGTGAGTTTAGTTCACTTTCGATAGCTTGTTGCCATTTCTCTTTATCTCTGCATGACATCGCCTGTTTGAAGGTTTTCGGTTCAAATATACTATCAGCTTCGAGCGCCATGATGTAATCGCCGAACCTTACAGGTGGCTTAAGATTCTCTCTGTTTCGTAATGACATCCGATGTTTTTCAGTTTCCTCATTGGTTAACTCAGGATCATCAGGTTCATTAATTTCAGTGAGTTCTTCATTGTCTTCTTCGGAGCGAGCTGATTCGAACAACGACTCGTTTGGATTATCACCAGTCTCTTCATCTGTCT